CTTTTGAGCTCAATATGTTCAGCTCATGGATTCCCCATAGAAAAATTCACTCCTGCTTATGTATACTGACTTGACAACTATTCACTTTCAAAAGTTACTTTTAAAAAACAAGCCCATTGTTTTGAAGTAAATGTTCAGGTTTTATTCCATTTTTAAATGAAGATAACTATTAATTTGGTTCTGTCTTTTGTATTTTTAAAAAGATTTTCAAGGCGCAGTATCAGAATTGGCCGCTAGAGGTAAGCAGAAAATATTCTCTTGCGCTTTTATGGCTTGCTGGTTATGAGAATGTGATAGTTTAATTGTGCACAATGAATTACATGCAATAACTACAACAACAGCCTGGCTGCTAATAAGTCTTAAGTAATGGAAGAAGTTCTTTTTAAAACATGTTAAATAAAACTCTTACAATTCTGTTTATCATCTACAGTAGGGAACACAAATGACATAGGCATCCTTCAGTCTCGAGAGACTATGGTAACGTGCTCCGCATGGAGGACTTGGAACAGCGTCTAGTGTGGCTGAGAAGGCCAATTCGAGAGGGACCATCCCTTCCACACAAATAGATGCATAAAAACAAGATCAACAAAGAAACAAAGATTTTGTTGTTCCTATTAGAAAAGTAGAATGCTAAAGTTTGATGCACTCAGTTGTGAAAATTAATGACACGTTCATTTGGCTTATGCTCGCAAAGAAGTATTCAAAAACATACACACATATACACAAAATGATGGCACATCCTTAAGATTTTCAGTGATTCTCTGCTGGGAACCTCTATGGCATGGGAAACGTTTACACCCCATTTCATGCACAAGAAAGAACATTCCTTGTTATTTGTTCCTCTGTGTGAGTGAGTTTGAATTAGATCAAAGTTCTTAGCCAATTCACATAAATGTTTTGAGATGGTTTTATGCAAAAGGAATTGGATAGAGATAAAAGAGTTATTTGGTATCTGCTTATTAAAATATTTCCTCATTATATTGTTAACCCTGATTTGCCTTCTCTACAAACTTCATTTTGTAGTTCTAGTATGAATGCATTTTCATGTGTCTTGAAAGCAGATTACATTGTATGGTAGGCAGGTGAAGAAGTGACATTATTTCACAGCTTTTTGTATTGTTCATAGTTAAATATCATGTTCCTTTTAGAAGTGATGGTTTGAAAATGCCCTGTCAAAAATGATTATTGATGGCTTTTGAGGTCTGGTGAGGCTAGATCAAGAGGAAACAGTTTCAGCCACTGAAATGCAACAGAAGAAATCTGAGCAAAAATATAATGATCTCATTTTGCCAGTAGAATGGACACAGTAGGCAGAATGGATTCCCTGTCTGTTCCAGGTATCTGATTCACAGAATCAGGAGACTGTCCTGGGAGACCCTCTATAACATTCCTTCTAAGTGAAATTACATGGATGGTACAGTGGGGAAGAAAAAAAAGGGGGGTTGCACAATATTAGGTAAAACTTTGGTTTTCCAGCTGACACAAGCAGGATTCAAAAGATACCTTATTTTGCTTTTAGATTTTGTAGAGAAGTTGATAAACAGATGTCTCTGTACTCCTTTTTCACAAGGCTCTATCCCTTTGAAAGAGTCAGAGAATTTAGCATTGCATACACCTGGGAGGCAGGAAAGTTTTAAGGGTCGGATCATACTTCCGCACTATTAGAGAGCAGGCTGGGTAGGGGGGCTCGGCAGCCATGGAAGGCAGGCCATCTAGGAGAAGGAAAACTCCGATTTCAAACCTCCACTGCCCTGTGGCTATATCCCTTCATGGAAAAGGCTTCAGGAGTTAACCTAGAGGCAAAATCCAGAGCTGGAGTCCCAAAGGCAGTTCGTATTGTTCTGCCAACTCCTGCGACATTGCAGGAACCAGTTGTACTGTATTGGCTCTTGCCTTTCCATTGGACCATTTCAGCAATGTGGAGAGGGGGGATCTGCTGCTTGGCTAAACAGCCTATCCTCCATACCCAGTCTTCATGCTCTGGAGAGGACACTTCTCGATACAGAGCATGTTACCATAGTGTCTCGAGACTGAAGGATGCCTATGATGATCCCTTTGAGAAGGGGTCAGGGAAGCAAAAACAGCATGTTTTTTGAAAGTCCCTTGTTATAACAGAACCCTAAATTCAGGACTGAAATTATAGAATCAAATGATTTTAAATGGGTAAGGAGCAGTAGCTCACCACTAGTTGGGCAGGGTATAAGACACACACACACACACAGAGATTTGGATGACTGGGTAGCTCAATGGTTTAAGTATGGACTACAGGGCCTGAGAGTTCAATTCCCCACTGTACCTCCAGCAAGTAGAGTAAGCTGCATAGTACTGTACCAAGATGCCCCCAGAGGAAGGTTATGGTAAACCACTTCTAAGTATTCTGGAAAATCCTGAAAAGGATCACTGTAAATCTGAATTGACTTGATGACACATTATTCTACCGTGTTTCACCAAAAATAAGGCAGGGTCTTATGTTAATTTTTGCTAAAAAAAACCCTCATAAGAGCTGATTTTCAGGGCATGTTTTATTTTTTTCATGTACAACCATCTACGTTTATTCAAATACAGTCATGTCATCTTCTTCTGGTTGCTGTACAAGGGTGGAGAACAGGGTTTCACTTCACTGGGTCTTATTTTTGGGGCAGGGCTTATATTACAAGCATCCTGAAAAATCATACTAGGGCTTATTTTCAGGTTAGGTCTTATTTTCAGGGAAACAGGGTCATTGTTGTTCTTGCTGATTCTTAGAGATCACAAACCGAAACCCCTGCTCAGTGTAGGGATCTTGCCACTTCAGCTTCCAAGACAGATGGTCTTCCGAACTCACTTAAATGCCTCCAGTGCAGGGGGAAGCTGGCACCTTCCAAGGTAGGCTGTTCCATCGACAAATATCTCATACCATTAAGCAGTCAAAACCTTCCCACGGTCGTCCACCTTGCATGACTGGATCTAGTCTGCACCAATGGAGTATGGTGCCACGAGTGGCTCTTGAGACAGGTTGTTGGGTCCCCACTTCTCATCAGTTCAGGCGCAAGATGCTTATTGGTGTTGCAGAGGCTTGGCTTAGAGTTAGTCTTTAGAGAAGCATCCTGCAGCAGAGGCCAAGAAGTGAGAGCAAAAGCCAAAGAAGGGCGGATGCCAAAGGAGGGTCAAGTGAGTTTAAGCATCAGGGGAATGCTAGTTTCAGATTTTGAGCGGATGATGTTGAAAATGATATCCAAACATCCCAGGCTCTGCACAGCTATGATGTCTTGTTAGAAGCAGGGCATGGAAAAATTAATGGTTTGGCCCTCAGCTCTCAGAATCTCAGCCAGCATGGCCAATGGGGGAACACTTTATTTTTTGTACTTTGGAGTACGGCCAATGCAAATGGTCAGAATGTGGAACTGAAGGTTCCAGCTCGGTTCTGGTCAGGGGATCCATGAGGCCGGCAGTGAACCACCTAGTTCTACAAAGCCTCAATATGTGGCCTAGTTACTTGATCTAAGTGACTGCCTTGCTTTCTTGAGTGAAACTCAAGTTGCCCTCAGAATGCCCATGCTGATTTGCCAAAAAATTTACATGTAGGCTTTTAGCTAATCAGAAAACTAAGCTGGGACGATATCAGAGCCTTTAAAGAAACCTGAGAGGTATCAGTGACTGTCATATTTTCCTCCTAATCTTCCTATCTTGGCAGCAGACTCAGCCAAAATACCCCTGGGGATTGGCATTTGACAAGTGCAAAATAGCATACTTAGTCAGGTTTTTATGGAAATAATGCAGCTGTTTCTAGTGTTCCTTCTGAGGCACAATTTTTTTTTGTTTATACATGCAGGTGTAAAACCAACCAGGAGACCAGATGAAGAAAGCAAAAACTGAAAGGGATGAATGAATATTTGCCACCATTCTACTTTCTATATATTTTAATCCAGATTTCTCTGCTACATCTCAATCTTTATGATTCATGTTCCCAGAGTTATATATAATACAGAAGACAGAAGGCAAAAAGTAAAATCCAAAACATTGTATGAAAAATACAGACAAAAGGTCTCCCAGGACAGTCTCCTGATTCTGTGAATCAGATACCTGGAATAGACAGGGAATCCATTCTGCCTACTCTGTCCATTCTATTGGCAGAGTGAGATATCTGCTCCACTATTCCTTCGCCCAGATAAAGGTTAGAATCCTGTTTAGTTAAACCAATTACTGTATGTAACAACTGCAGCACAAGTGGTTTGATTTTTGAGAGCCTTGTGCTAAGAACTGTGTAGGATTTCCTTGCACATCTATAAGTTTGCTATTTGTAGTGGGTAATCTCTGCTTGTGTAATTATAATGCTTACACAAGCAGGAGACCCTATGTTATTGCATAGGTAAGGCTTTATGATCCCCCAATGTCAAGTAGGATTCCAACCAAGAAAATTGTGAATATAGTTACACTAGGAAAAAAACCCTATATTTAAATTGGGTTTAGTATGTTTTAAATCAATTTTTAAAAAAGGTGACTACACAACGCACATGGAAGCTCAGATTCCCCCCCCCCCCCCGGGAAATGTGGGTTTTGGTTGGAAAATGAGGTATTTTACTGGGTGGCAAGAGGGTCATTTATTTTAACTCACTTGTGAATTCCATTTAGTTTTAATTGCTTTGGCATATGAGAACACCTCTGTCAGTATAAACTGTGTTTGTGGGGTTTCCCACTCCCACCACTCACTGGTATGCTTTCTTTCTTTCTTGCCAGCCCCTACTGCCATTTCCCTCTCCTTCTCCACCAGCTAGTTATAACTTAAAAATACTTTGCCCAAACTTCCGCAGATTTGGCACAGAGCAGAGCAGATGATCTGCTCCTTCTGTGCCAAATTCGGTGCTGATCCGAAGACAGTGTGATCTGGTTCTGTGGTTTTTTTGTTTTGTTTTGGCTATTTGTTATATTGACATAGCGATATGCCAGTTGGAAAGCTGTTTTAAAAAACAGCAGCCAGTGCTAGGGGCTATATTGACATAGCAATATGCCAGTTGGAAAGATGTTTTAAAAAACAGCAGCCAGTGCTAGGGGAATAGTGCTCCTTTCATCGCAAGCCTGGGTTTTGTCAATAATTTGTCAGTTTTTCTTGCCTTCCCTCTTGCCAGTGCTGGGAGCCTCCCTTCCTCCTTTGTGTGTAGCTCTTTCTCTCTCTCTCTCCCTACCCCAGGCACCCTCACTCAGATGTTTTCAAGGCCTAAAGGCTGTTGTCACTTTAAAACTTTACTGAAAGAAGAGCCTCTGTCTGGCTTTCAGGGGCCGCAGGAAACCTTTGTTTTATTTTGTTTTCCCATCTGTAATACTGGCATATTGATATGTAAGTTTGAAAGAAAATTTAAAAATATATTAAAAATAACACCACAGCAGCAATGGCCAGTGGACAGCATGAGGGCGGGCAGGCAGGCACAGGAGAAAACCTCAATTGCAACAATTTTAAAAGCCCAGGTAGCCCCCTCAACCAGTATACAACATGGCTTGAAAATGGATTAAAGTTTTCCCAAGAGGATGCACACACTAACCCAAATAACATGTGACTACAATGTGACTTTAACCTGATTTCAAAACCCCAATCCACCTCTCGATTTATTTTCACAATGTAACAGTGCCCTGAGTTTCAGTATAGTGGAAACAAAACAAATTGCTGAAGGAGTTGAAAGGAAGAACCGTGATGGCTTGCAAAATGATGATGAAGATGATGAAGATGTACAAACATAAGTCAATATCCAGTGCTGGACAGAATGTGCTCTCTAGCAATATAACTCTGAAACTATTGCTTATATACACTGAAACACATTAAACATTATTCCGTTAAAAATGATATATTCCTATATTGAATTTTTGCCCTGGTTGTAGACCAGAAAGCTTGTGTCAAGGTCGGACTGTCTGTCTGTACGGTGCACTGTATTATCCAACAAAGCACAGGTTAGAGATAGGTGGATAAAGTGGGTGGGGCTAAAATAGGAGCCAGTACCAAATTCTGTTATATTATCACCTCCTTCCAGGAGCCCAGGGAATCTAAAGAAGAACTTTGGTATGATGTTGGTTTGAACTACAACTCCCAGAATCCAGTGGCCGTGCTAGCTAGAGATTGTGGGTATTATATTCTAAAAAACTAGCATTTCCAGGCTGTAATCTGATGAGCAGAAATAGAAGAAATAAAATCATTTACAGCAGGGCTGTTTTTAACACAGGCCTGTAATATCCAGATGCCTGATGCCACTCCCAGATATTATGGTACAGATTACAGGAGCAGACAATGAAATGAAACAAAAAGTTGCTTGTAAACAGGAACAGTTGTGAGTTACTTATTTTCAAACTTTGGGGAAGTTACTTTTTTTGGACTACAATTCCCAGAATCCCCAGAAACCATGCTAGGCAGGAGGCTGTCAGTTGTACTGCAAAAAGTAACCCTTTAATACTCTACTTATCATCGTTCTTGTGTAACTGGCTTCTCTTAAAACTCATAAGCCGACACAAAGACAGTGATCTTTGAAACATGCTTGGCCTGGAAGGTGCGTCCCAGATATTCCGTCATATCCACCTCCACCTGGACGGTCTGAGGCCCTGGTAGGCTTTGCACAAGGATGAGTTCTCCAGTCTGCCGGTCAGAGCGCTGCATCACAAAATGTCCTCGGCTATTTCCTCCCACGATCCCAAACCGCAGGCTGTCAGGACCTGGCCGTCCAGGAGCTGAGGCAGTGGCCATCCGGAAGAGAGGTGTGGGAGTGATGAGGTTGGATGGCAGAGGGAGATAATGGAAGGAGACGGTCTTGGGGGCCTGGAGGCATGACCTGCTGTCCATCGGACATGGGTTCCGTTCACACTGACTAGGAAAAACAAGGAAAAACAACACCTCAAAGTCGTAGACGCCAGAAGGATTTTCAGGAACTTAGGGCTAAACTAGAAAAATACACTTAACATGTCCTTAGAAACAAAGCTCTGCAAAAAGTAAAAGATGCATGTTAATCCTAGTTTTCTTATCTCTGCATCTTGGAAAGGAGCTTGCTTTTGTTTTGTGGGTTTTCATTGGAACATAAATGTGAGCTTCATTTACAAGTGTGATTGCTCAGGCAAGGAGCACTGAAATAATGGCATACCTAAAAGAAAAAATATTGCATAGCAGAAAGTATACATTTCCTTTAATGAGTAATTTGACCAGGCACTCATTATCAGTTTGATACCATTTTAACTGTCATGGCTCAATCCATGTGGAATCTTGGGGTTTGTTGTTTAGTGAGGTTTTAATAAATCTCTTTCAACCAGGGAATTCTGAGTACCTACCAAACTACAAATTCCAGAATAACATACCGTAGATGACATGAAGAACCTGACTCAGGGAAAAAGGACGATAAATCTCTTTCAACCAGGGAATTCTGAGTACCTACCAAACTACAAATTCCAGAATAACAGATGACATGAAGAACCTGACTCAGGGAAAAAGGAGTTGGGAGCCTATTGGTGATACAGTTTAAGATCCTTGGACATGGATCTTAAACTTTGGGAAAGTGCATGGAAACTGTCTTGAAAGTGGCAACTAGTGGTTTGTTTCCCGCATCCCAGTTGCAATAAACCCTGTTTGCATTTAACTACTTTTGGTGCCATTTCTAGGTTCAGGAATGGAAGAAAGAACCCCTGAAGACATAGCAAGGGCAAGCTGGGCTCACAGGAAAGAAAAAAAAAGGAAAAACAGCTGATCTTTCACTGATGTTAGTAAAGTGGTCCTATATTCCATCTCATATTCCTTTGCCGTAGCATGACAACAGCCAATGTGATGTGGTGGATAGAGTGAAGGATGCAGAGGACCTGTGTTCAAATCCTGGTTTGGTCATGGAAACAAACCCGTTGAGAGTTGGCACTTATAAACTCACTCCTTAATATCTCAGATATTTTGAAAATCCTTTAGGGTTACCATAAGTCAGATGTGACTTGACTGCATATAACATGTGCAGTATCTTGAATAACCAGTTGGAAAGGAAGTGAAATCAGAATTGTTTTTGTGAGTCAATTTCTTTGCAGTCATTCTTTGTGTCAGCATCTGTTCACAGCAAATCCTCCTTATATTTAAGGACAATCACAATTACAAATTATACTGAATAATTAGGAATTACCTTCCTTCCCCAGGGACAGGCTAATTAAGGACCACTTCAGGTATTGGTCTTAGGGCTCAATCATACTTGCCAAAAGAACCCCATTTATACTGTTTTTGCTGTTATTTGGATGGCTAAAAATTTTCTGTTCACATGGTGCATGGCTAACATCCATTCATTTGGCCCAGCAATTGGTTTATTTCATCCTTGCCAGGAAAGTTATTTTAAATTGTATGAATGAGGAATTGCTTCATTCCTTATCGTTTCTCTCTGTGTAAACATTGCTGTCAATTTATTTCCTTTGAGACAGCCTCCCCTGCCCACAGGTGGAAGAGAGCTTGAGCAGAGACAGGGCCATTTCCTGCTTTGAAGTATAAAGAAAAGGTCTTGCATTAATATTTCCTCTCTCTCTTTTTTAACCCTGCTCTTCACAATACTTTGCAAGTCTTTTAAAACCTGCTTCCTCCTCCTGACACTTTGTGAAAGGGAAAAGAAAAAGGAAAGCCAAGAACTGAGGGGGAGAGATAGTTAGGGAAATAGGGAAAAGGGGACGAGTGAGTAAAGGAGGGGAGAGAAGAAGGGAGTAGGAGAGAAGACTCATACTTCTCTATCAATATATCACTTTTTGTAATTTTTTAAAGGATAAGGTGGGGCTGACATCCCCAAGAAACAGCAGAGAAAATGAGTGTGAGACAGGAGGCGAGAGGGATATCCTCTCCTCCAAACTGAAGAGAAAGAAATACAGACACAGTCTATTCCAGCGTTCCCAAAGACAGAGCAGCGATGGCCAGAAACAGGAAAGGAGATACAAAGAATGATATTAGGAGGGGGTCAAGGAGAATCAGCGGGAAAAGAGAGGAGAAGAGAGTGGAGTTTGAGGCGGGAACAGCAGAGATGAAAAGGAAGGAAGGGCAGTTACCACCATGTTGGGAATGGGTATGGATGGAGGATCCCTGGACTGGGACATGGGAGAGATTAAGAGTGCCCAAGAAGGAGGCAGATTATAATTAAGAGTGCCCAAGGAGGACGCAGATTATAGAATGAGAAGAGAGATCCCACACAGACCCTCGTATTGGGGTGAAGCTGAGGTGAGAGAGTGGAGGAGACTGAGAGAGGAGAAAGAGAGGGTTGAGAGAGAGCGAAAGAAAGGAAAGGCTAGAATGGAAAACGAAATGAGGAGGAAGGGTTACAGGGAGGACCCTGGAAGGATTCAGTGCCAGAGAGACAACCCCTGTGGCATGACAACTGAGACAATGAGACCCTTCCCTTGTGGGAAGGTGAGACGGGACAGACCATAGCAGGTGACATCTTTACAGATTGGTCCACGGAACGCCAGCGACAGAAACCCGTTCTTAGTTGAAGATTGGAAGACCTTTCGAGACCCGTTGTCAGAAAGAGAGAAGCAATCGGATCATGTTATGGACACTTGTTATTTGTTGAATACCCCAATAAATATTACACCTAGTTCGAAACAACAAAAGTCTGTCAAATTTACTGAAACAAAAATGGAGCTGAGGATCGAACCCTCACAATGAGCTGATACAAAATTAAAGAGCAGTGTAGCTATAATAGTTCAAATAGAAAGAACTGTAGTGATGCAGTTCAAAACAATGTAAATGCTCCTGCCAATGTGCTGTATATACCATGTGACTGCTGAAAAAAATGTATCCATACAATAGAGAGATTAAAAGAACTGGTATTACTGGGGTTCTTTTCTCTCGTGTAATTGAGTCCTTAGTCTGTTCTTGTTACTTCTGGGGTAGATATGCTTTTATTATTGGTTTCTTCTGGGTCCAATTAGAATATGTGAAATGCCTCAGCAATAATGCCTGGATTCTCTAGAAAAATTTAGGACTCTGAGACATTTGTAAGGTAAAGGTTCCCCTTGACATTTAGTCCAGTCGTGTCCGACTCTAGGGCGCATTGCTCATCCCCGTTTCCAAGTCGTAGAGCCAGCGTTTGTCTGAAGACAGTGTCCATGGTCACGTGGCCAGCGCGACTAGACATGGAACGCCGTTACCTTCCCACCAAGGTTGTACCTATTTATCTACTCGCATTTTTACATGCTTTCAAACTGCTAGGTTGGCAGGAGCTGGGACAAGCGACAGGAGCTCCATCTGTCACATGGATTCGATCTTACGACTGCTTGTCTTCTGACCTTGCAGCACAAAGGATTCTGTGGTTTAACCCACAGCACCACCACATCCCTCGAGACATTTATACCATCTTATTACGCCTCCTTTTCTGTTGCTTAGTGAGTTCAAACTCTTGTTTACTGCACTGGAAATGTTATAGTGCTTAACTTGGTGTGGCAATTTATAGGCCACTAAGCTTTCCTCAGGGCGCTTTTACCCAACTGGAGCACTGACTTGCTTCAGTCAGTTCCATACCAGTATCATGACCTTTCTGCATAAAAAGGTAATGAAGAATTGAACTGGGGGATTTAAATCTTCTGAATTCAGCCCACCACCACCACTGTGGATACCTACTGCAGAATGGATATTCCACAGCTCCAGAACAAAAAGATACAAAAAAGGAAAACAAGAGTTGTGGAAGAGTAAACAAATCTGGAAACCCAGGGGAAAGAAAAGCAATATGGAGTGTTCCAATTTCCACTACAATCAATGCTTGATTGGGAATGTAAAGGGGTACAATTACTCCATCTGGAAGACCACTGAGGGAACAAACTGTATAAATGCCATACAGTACTAAATAACCACAGCAGATGCAATCTGTTTATGCTTTGGTCAGTGCATGGTTGGTAACAATCTGAATAGCTATCCACTTTCAAAGTGATATACGTAGAAATAGCCCACATTCTACCAATTATAAAACAATTAGCCCAAATCACAGTGATGAATTGTCACACAAGTTAAGAAGTTAGCATAGGCATTTTGTATGTGGGTTGACTCACAAGACTCAATGCACAACAGCAACTGCCTATGCTAATTTCTCACCTTTTGGCAATTAATTGCCAAACTTTATGCCAACTGTGTAAAAACTTGGCAGGATCTTGGCCAGTATGAATTGTCAGACCGAGCTAGGCTTTTGCAGTTAGGAACATCATATTTGTACCCTTTGAAGCCTGTACTGAAAGAAACAATAGACATAACTTTGTAGTCATGGTTGAGTATACAGTGGACCCTTGGCTTACAGACGGCTTGACTTACAGACTTTTTGAGTTACAGACTTCTCTGGACGCAAAATTTAGGTTTGACTTGCAGCCTGAGAATTGACTTACAGACCAGAAAAAAACCAAAATGGAACAAAAACGGCCTGTTACGGGATTAATCGGTTTTCAATGCACTGTAGGTCAATGGAGACTTGACCTACAGACTTTTTGACTTGAGAACCGCCTTCCAACACGGATTAAGTTCTCAAGTCAAGACCCCACTGTACCTGGAGTGTAACAATATTTGATTTTTCCTTATACTTACAATGGTGATGTTTTCACATAGCTGATGTCTCCATTGGACTTGGGACATTCTGGATTAACACACTGAAAGCCCCCTCCTGTGTTAATACATGTTGTTCCCCCAGTACAGTTGTGCAACAGAAGCACACATTCATCAATATCTGGAAGAAGAATGGAAATGTAAAAAAATTAAGAGCTTCTGGAAGTTTTATTAAAGAACTGTATCTCCTAGAAGGCAATGCTGGCTTGAGAATGCTGAGAGCTGTAGCCCATAAAAAGCAACTTTCCTACAGTCTGTGTAAGATATAATATCAGATTCAATGGCTTAGAGTCTACATCCTATAGAACAGGCCCAGCTGCTCGCCATGGAGGCGCCACCGAAGGAAGCTGCACAGCTGGGTGAGCGCCGCTGCCACCCGATGGGCTCCTCCACTGCCACTCGACGGGGCATGGGGCAGCGACGTGTTCCAGCGCTGGGAGGCTCAGCCTGGCCCATACAGGGTTTGCCAACCTTGGGCCTCCAGATGTTCTTGGAATACAACTCCCAGAAGCCTTCACCACCACCTCTGCTCGCCAGGATTTCTGGGAGTTGAAGTCCAAGAATATCTGGAGGCCCAAGGCTGGGGACCACTGCTATAATAGGAAGGCAATGTGGTAATAGAATCAGCTAGAAACCTAGGAAGTAGTTTTATATTCAGCCTTATCATGGACCCATCTAGTTTAGTAAATTTGGTAATAATTGGTGTTTCAGACAGAAGTCTTTCCCTTGTTTTACTCAGAGATATCAAGATCTGATCCTGAGACCTTTTGCATACAAAGCAATTAATGGTACTTAATTGTTTGAGCTCTTTCTGGCTTTTTGCAACACTAAAGCCTCTCTGGGGTGAATGTGTGAATGAGTGATCCTCCCCAGCCTAAAGCCTTAAAGGGGCAAGTGGTTCTCAGCAGGACTTTTCAACTACTACCATCTTCTAGGGATACCTGTCCACGTGCCTTTCACAGGATGCAGGACAGTCCCATGGAGAGAGACAGCAATAGTCTCAGCCCTTCTGCTAGTTGGCTTGCACTGGTACCTCCAAAGCACACCACCTCCCAATGCTGTTGTTGGATTGTGCCCAGCATCATCAAAATAATTGCATCCCTCTGCCACTTGTTTCCATTTCTTAAAACCCACACAGTTATAATGGTGTTAAACAAGACAGGGGGGCATGAAAGAAAAGGATCATTCTCAGTATGAGGGTTTTTTTTCCCCATGTTTCAGCTGTCATGTAGATTCATGTGCCAATGAGGCAGAGGCTCAGACTCAAAAGCCACCCCTCGATTGGATGATCCTGGTTGATGCCAATGGAAAGATATGAATGTCTTTACCCATATGTATATGTTGGGCCATTATAGTGTTCTGTTCAACCTTCCTCCTGGTCCCACCATTGTGAGTTATGTATTTTATGGAGATGCAATGGAGGCTTTTCCTAGTTGTAAAGGTAAAGGTAAAGGTAAAGGTTCCCCTTAACAATTTTTGTCCAATCGTGTTCGACTCTAAGGGGCGGTGCTCATCCCCGTTTCCAAGCCATAGAGGCAGCGTTTTGTC